GTTGAATATCACTGATCTAGCCTATAGACCTAGACTAGGTATGGCCTCTGGCTTCATCTTATATTCTCATAATGGCCGCGGGTCATGATACTATGTGTCAGGTAAGTTGTTACCAGAATGTAGAAGGATGAATTCTGAAATATAATATAAAAAATATAAAATATAAGCGGGCCAGATTTGGCCTGAGGACCTGGGATTGCCCATGCAATCTCTACAGAATGTTAAGTAATGATCATCTGTCTCAGTAATAAATACGATTTATGATTTCATGGATTACGATGTGTATAATCTCGATTGTCTTTGACAGTAAGCCAATATTTCTTTGTTACAAAATTTTTGTTTTCAAGTTCAAATTTTATGAGACGTTTTCAAAATGCGCGAATATGTTTAGAAACATAGACTAAATGTTAATATTTCCCGTTACGTGTGTCAACTGTTCAAATAAGGTATTTTGTGTGTTTGTGTGTAAGAGATTAACTATTCTGTAAAGACAACTTTCTTTGTATGTTGAACTACTAAGATTTTAACTCATTCGAATACTGATTATCCAATGTGTCTCCGGGTTACTAATACACTTTATAAATGAACGTATACATTAGATTATTTCTGAATAAAATGGCGTGAGACTTTCAAACTTCTCTGACGGTATAACCTGAAGTCTAATTAAAATTTCGCGTTCCATTCCCGTGTTTTACTGTGGTTGAGTACCCGGGCGAGAACTGTCTCTTTTAAAATTCATGTTTTTCCATCGTCAGCAACATTTGTTACGTGTAGAAAGACTGCTGGTTATTTCACACATAGACCACGTAGGCCTAATATCTATGTGATATATATACCGGTCTAGCGGTTAGAATGCTGGCCTTGTAATCCTGGGGTCTCGGGTTCGATTCCCGGCGGTGCCCGAATTTATAACTTGTGTTGGGCAAGGCCGTGGTCTAGGCAACACGGAGTTTTCCTCCGTGGCATCCCAACAATTACTCCATTCACAAACAGAAGAAGGCAATGGCAAACCACTTCTGGATCATCCGCCAAGAACGTATATGAATATATTAAAACTGTATACAATTAGTATGATGGCTTCTACATACTTTGAATGAGTCGTTTTTGTAAAATCAATACATATGACTAGTCTATTCCTCCTGTAATTTATAGTAACGCTTGGTAAATGTTTATAAAGACTAATCGAGGAAAAAAAAAGTCAAATGTTTACATCGATGTTGGTCAGTGAATAGGAGGATAGAATACATTGTGTTTATTTTAAATTTACATTAATAAATTCTACCATTGTACAAATACACTTCATTGAATTTACAAGCGATTAAAAACAAGAGTTTTTGTTATACTGACTACATATATAAATACAGAAGTTATATTAACTCGCATTATGGTTTTAAAATGTAACGTTCTGTCAGAAACTGCATATAATCCTACCTCGTGTAAAAACACCAGTTACAAAATGCACACACGGCGTAGTAATCGTGGAGCATTTCGCAGAATTTTATAATCCACTCTTGTTAATGGTCGGGGAATTTCTCGTCTGGGGACTCCCCCACGTGGCAATTCCCTATCCAATTACTTCGAAGCGCAGATGTATATGTAGATCTTCATTTAAAGTTCCCGTCGTGATTCGATTTTTTCCCAATATTATAATGTGTCGACATATTTTACTACAACTCCCCAATTTAATGAGAATCCGTCACGCGTACAGACAGACGGAGCGATTTTAATAGGCTTTTCGCAGGGTTTGTGGGCTCAAGGTTGAAATTGCTTCAACCATGAAGATAATTTGTTAACCATCTTAAAGACTACTTGTTGACAGTTCTCACAGAATCACTGCTGTGAGTACCTCAGGTTAGGTTATGTTAGGTTCTAAATTAACCACTAATATTTCAGGTACAAATAGACTTATTTACTTAAAATTTTTGTTTTGAAATTCATTCAGCTTGTATTTTTCATTAAAATTAATACGCTACCTTTCACGATCGGTACATAAATCCAGTTTTATTTTAAATTATATTTAGAATTTATGCCGTTAATCTTCATCTGGATGTCACCATTTTGTAAGTATCTAAGAAACAGTCTATAAATCCGATCACAAATTAATTCTTTTGATTTGTAGGCGACTTCAATAAATGTTTATTTTCTTAATATATGGTGTATGTATGATTGGTTATCGAGCCTGCTTTGTGCACGGGAGGTCTCGGGTTAAAATCTCGGCTTAGAAACTGACCAACATTTTTCGTGGTTTTACTCATTTCCTTTACGTAAATACGGAGCTGTATTTCAAATTACGTTCCAAACCCTTCAATTAATTATCCCATCAATTGATGCTGTACAGTCTGAGCTAATTACAACATCGTTAAATGAACCACAAATAAAATAAACCAAAGAACAAAATAATATGAACAAAGAGATGGCTGTCTTCTGGGTTGTTGCACCGTGTAGTCATCATCCTGATGATGGAGGCAGCAAATACCTCTGTAACGTCGATAAATTTATACCAGATTACGGCGCTACAACCCAGAAGACAGCCATCTTCGGACTCACCACCGTGTAAACCTCAAATCCTGCTTGGTATGAACCTGAAAAATCCAATAATAAAAGTGCGTACATACGACCGGGTTTGATTCTCGGAAAAAAGGCAAGATTTTTGTTTTAGCCAGTGTGTCCTGTACACCTCTTTCCAGTAGTCCACTGGTTCATTTCCCTGTGAGTGATGCAACTGGACACTGAAACAGACAAATCAGTACCATGGTTAACAACAAGAGTAGATTATCTCCACTGTGGTATGGCGTAGTATTTGGAGAAATAATTAATTTTTTAATTGAATAAAAAAATTTCTTGGATATTATCCATCGTCTAGTAAATATAAAACGTAAAAACGACGTTTCGGAGATAGGGATCAGCTCTATCTAGTGGGCCCAACTGTATAGGAACCTGAAGACGGAGATAGAGTCCCATCTCCGAAACGTCGTTTTTTACGTTTTATATTTACTAGACGATGGATAATATCCAAGAAAATTTTTATTTAAGGTCCGGAGATATGGATTAGCTCTATCTAGTGGGCCCAACTGTGTAGGAACCTGAAGACGGAGATAGAGTCCCATCTCCGAAACGTCGTTTTTTACGTTTTATATTTACTAGACGATGGATAATATCCAAGAAAATTTTTATTCAAGGTCCGGAGATAGGGATTAGCTCTATCTAGTGGGCCCAACTGTGTAGGAACCTGAAGACGGAGATAGAGTCCCATCTCCGAAACGTCGTTTTACGTTTTATATTTACTAGACGATGGATAATATCCAAGAAAATTTTTATCCAATTGACTCTTCACCATCGTCAAGAAGTTTTAGATTTGATAATTAATTTTTTGCTTTTAAACACACGCGAATTCATGAAAATGAAGATAAATGTTAGTTCCATGTTTAAAATCCTAACGGCAAATTAAGGCGATGAACGTAACAAGTTAAAAAAAGTTTTTGCATAACCAAGATTTGACCTTTGACCTTTGCGTATGGATCCCGTGACGTCATAGTAGAGTGTTTCTCACGTGGGAATCCCTCCACGAGGGGTTGTCACCTCCTCTCTCATTCCTGACACACGAAGACTGACCTTGACCGCTCTCGGGGAATCCATATTGTGTTTGGAACTGTTTCTCCCGTGATGTGATAAGGTACTCGTTTGATGTGTGGAAATTTTCGGGAATGTGGGACGGGCGGCATCGACAGAATCTAAACAATGCAGGCCTAAAGTTTTAAATATACAAAGCAACAGATTCCGTCACAAACAATACAGTGGATTCCAGTTAAGACACGTCGGGACTAGTCCCAATTTTGCTAAGTTCCACGTGAAGAGTTAACCGGAATCTACTGTATATTTATATTAACGAAGTAGAATTAAACTTTTTTTTTGTTTAAGTCTTGTCTAATCACAATGAAATTCCTATTAAATATTAAAATATTACCATAATTAACATTTAAATATTTAAAAAAATATATTAAATGATATTCTCTATCGAAATGTTCGATTTACATTAGAATATCACTTTGTAAAAATAAATATTTAAATGTTAATTATGGTAATATTTTAATATTTTTAATAGGAATTTTATTGTGATTAGACTGACAAGATTTAAACAAATATATATTTATCACAATATGACGCAACTTTATCATCTCATAGAATTAAACTATATAATCTGGATCATCTTCAGGCCCTCATGGATACAGAAGTGGAGTTATATGTGATTTATTGTCTAGAATTATGTATTACAAAAATTAAATCAAGTAAATAATTACAAATTACAAGTTGTTCTCATGCAGGTAATTGTTGAAACTAATATAAAAATTGTTTATTGTAGTTAAGTAGGTTTATATAATTGTGAGTTATAACCCATTGGCTAAGTTGTTACAGTTACGAGCATGAAAATGCAGACCGTATAAAACGCTCAGTACGATGAGGCAGCAAGGACCTCTGAAACGTCGGTAAACTTCTACCAAACTACACGGCCCAATAACCAAGACATCCATATTCTGTTTTTTTTTAAAAAAAATCTTTTGTAATATTTGTAGTAAAATCCCAAATAATTTTAGCCTGTTATTGCGAAATTCATGGATATATCGTGATTTATATATAAATAAAATACGAGCCGCTGTATGTGCATTTCTTACGTCCTTCATCTTATATCTGAACGTTCAAATTGGCACTTTTTCGCAAAGTTCTTCAACATATGTCGATGCCGGTCATCTGGGTTGTTACTCCGTGTTAAGGTTAGGTTAGGTTACAGCGTTGCATAGGAACATACTGTCTCTATTTTAAGGCTTTACCACCCAGATGACCAACATCGACGTATTCACAGCCGTGAATACATGAAATATTATATAACGTCGTCAATACATTCCCTCTAGGATTATGAGACGAAGTCTGACACACAGTTTGTGTAGTTAAACCTCGATTAAACAGGCTTCCAGCAGGTATAACGAATCTCATTTCCGTTCCAGGCAAAAGAATATTGACGGAGACGCCATGGTGTGACGTAATGACACCTGTTAATGTGACGGCGACGGAGGCTGAGCCCCTGCTTAGCGCCGAGTTCCTGGTTCTACTGTCGCTCTATGGCGTTGTGCTGGTGGTCGGCGTCGTGGGAAATTCGATGGTGGCTGTGGTCATGTGCACCCAACAGACCGCTCGTATGAGGAACAACCTCATGTTAAGTGTGTGCGTGTCTGATCTCTTGGTGTGCGCACTGAGTGGACCGCTGGCTGCAGCATCCAACACATACCACAGCGTCTGGATGTTGAGTCACATCGCCTGTAAGCTAACAGCCTTCTTACAGGTGAGAGACGTTGTATTAAATGAGAGTCGTGATTTGATTTTAACTCCGATCAGCTCACCGCGTTCTCCGCCTGGAGGGAACCATTAGTCGACTGTCACGTGATTGTCATGCGCGTTACGCTTGGTCTGTTTTGCAAGTGAATCACGCGGCATCAGGGATGGTTTATTTCAGTTGGTTATTCGCATACTTTTTATTTTGTAATCAGACTTACGAAACCATTAAAATTACACTATTATTCAAATAGTATTAAAAATATATTAAAATTGGCCGTCAATCACAATATAAGATAATTAAAAGATTAAAATATCATTTTACGTTCCGTATCGAGTACTCGATTTACATGTGGAACATTTTACGGAACGTAAAATGATATTTTAATCTTTTAATTATCTTATATTGTGATTGACGGCCAATTTTAATATATTTTTAATACTATTTAAATAAATCACAATATGACGCATCTACAATATCTTACACTATTATTCGTTAACACACAAAAATCTGTATGTTTTTTTATATAGAAATACATTCATATAGTAGACCACGGACGAGCTAAATCTTTTGTTTCCGTTATCTGAATAATTTTTATATGTGGATGTGTGGAGTTTGTGTTTATAGTGGAATGAGAATTAGTTTAAATATTTGGAAGAGTTATTTTTAAAAAGGGAACTGAAAGATGTCAACATATACCAGTTCAGTTATATCGTGTTTAAGAGATCTGTAATTTGAAACTAAGTGAACGATGCAAAGGCCTAAGGTAACGGAAACACGTCAGCACGTCGGAGATTGCAAACCTCTGGGGTGTATGATTTTATTCTGAATTTCATTCATCCTTTCTGAAGTAAATAGTGGTGACTTTATCTCGAGTGACATATAACATGAAAAATGGCTCCAATATTGACATTTTTATGTCCCAATGTTTGCTGCCGGCCATTCCAGTGGTCTTTATTTTAAAAAAGCTTTTTGGACTCGAATCACTGACGGTAAATTAATACGCTTCTCTCTACACTTTCTCAGTATTACGCATTCTTTGATCAAACAATAGAAATGTGACGCAAAAGAGAGAGGCCGTAACTGTCTGTTAAATTAATTTCGATTTAATATACGTGATCAGCTCTAAACTTCCTCACACGTAGGCCTACTGTACTCATGTCTATAGAAATCTATAAACCTTGTCAGAATTTGTCAAGAAACTTCGCTGTCAATTGATTAGTACTCGTAATTTGATTTCCAAAAGTCTGTGGTTTAAACCTCTGCTCAGAGACTAGTCCTTCCTGGCAGGTGCTGGGATAGTAAATCAAATAGGCCATGACCACTTCCTTTCATATAATTTTCAGTTTATTATTCATTTGTCATCCTATCATTTGACACTATACAGTATTAACTACGAGCAGCATCTTTAAATAAGCCACAAATAAATGAATAAATAAAAGTAACATTTTCGGATTTATGATAAACGGATTAACGTAGAAACTATATTTGATGTAAAACATATAAAATTTTGTACAAGTTTCGTATAAATCCTCTGAGAGTCTGCACAAGCTCCGTATTTATAACATTTTTATGGGGGGGAAAACTGTAAAATGTGTACTAAATTTGAGCACGATTTGCGACGTCTTTATAAATGTTTGTGCAGTGACGGAATGTGCGAGTTTTTTTAAAAAAAATTGTTGGCGAAAATCTTGAAAATTGAGTTCTTACCTCGTGCTTCAGTCACAACACGGCACACGCAAGCAAATTAGCGTGTTAACAGCCGAGTTTTGGCTAACAACGCCAATGACGGGCTGGCTAACGATAAGTTTTGTCTTTGTGATATCGCATGGCTCTAATGAAACTTGAAGTGGGTAGAGACTGGATTCGATTGATTCAGTGCAGTGACCAGTGTCAGATTCTTTTGCAGGGTGGAATGAAGCTTTGATTCCATAAAAGACGTTGTGGTTGAACGAGGTTTGTAGTTGTATCAGTCATGAAACTGTGAGATTTGAGGTGTGCGGATTGTGGTCTCGTGGAATGTGACACCGTATATTCTTATGGTAGGTGATTACCATCTTCTGCCCTGAAGATGGAGGCGACAAGTTCCTTTCGAGTCCAGTTTAATACCTGTATTCAGATTTGCCAGCAGTTGAATTTGGCTGCATGGTACGTGGAAATTTACTGTTGGTGATAGATTTGTTTATTTAATAAGTAGCACGAATATCATGATATTCTTGAAAATTCAAAGACTTTTTTTTTTCGAAAACGTGTACTCCAAATTGAAGGACACTTTACCTCTAGAAATCTTACGTTGTGTTTCTCTATGTATGTGCAGCTTCAAACGTTTTTCATTTACGATATGAAGTGTCCACAAGGAGCTTTGATTTCACATAAACAACTATGACGGTTCACTCACATTGATTGAACAGGATCGAGAAAGATCGATCATTCGATCACAGTCGATTAGGGTCGTAGCTGCAATTTTAGGTTATTGGAAAATGTTCTGTATGTTTTTGTTTTTTTCTCCGCGATAATTGGCGTAGACATTGGATTTATGAGCAGTGTTCAGTTTTGTGATTTTTAGTAACCGCGTCCATCTACACATCGAACTATTTACTGTGGCGGACTGATTTACAGAAGTAGTTCTACGCGTTTCATGTAACTCTACGCAGTTGACTGATGGAGCAGAGGTCTGAAACCTAACCTCACTTTTGTAACGCGAAAGCATAATTTGCAATGTAGGAAACGAGACAGCAAATGAATAAAAGGAGAGAGAGGGAGACAGTAAAAGATCTAGAGAACATAAAACAAAGAAGAATAAAGGAAAATACGGAAGAAAACAGTAAAATAGCAATAAATAATGTTATTACTGCATTTGACATATACAATCTTAAAAATATTGATAAAGTTTCCTTGTATTTGTTTTATTACGTCATATCCTTGCTGAGAGGAGATGACGTGCCGTGTGCAGCGGTTACGACGATTACCATCTCATTGCTCGTTGGACTGAATGGTGGAATGAAAATAGAAAAGAGATGCAAAATGAAAAGAAATAGTCTGTAAATGAGCTTCATCTAGAATTCCGTACGTGCCCAACAGAATCCAGAACCTAATGTTTTTCTGGGTTGACAAGGCAATGTTAAAATCTGTAGTACTTAATAACCCTGTTAGGACCTTCTACGTACCATGATTTATGATGGCCGTCAGTTCAGAAGTTACTAGAACGTACAGTCACGATACAATACACATATATTTCGTTTTATAATAAGAAACTCCGCCACGGTGGTCTAGCGGTTAGAACGCTGGGCTTGTAATCCTGGGGTCTCGGGTTCGATTCCCGGCGGTGCCCGAATATATAACTTGTGTTGGGCAAGGCCGTGGTCTAGGCAACGCGGAGTTTTCCTCCGTGGCATCCCAACAATTACTCCATTCACACACAGAAGAAGGCAATGGCAAACCACTTCTGGATCATCTGCCAAGAACGTATATGAACAGGTCCCATCCCGAGAAAAGGATGGAAGGATCCTGTTCATAGGGACCTGTCGTCAGACAGAACACTAATAATAATAATAAGAAACTGGCTACATTTTAATATGCTTAAAACTGTTTTAAAAAAATTTCACGATAAAATCATTCAAAATGATATTCTTCGACGTAAGTGCACAGCCAATTTGTATTAGTTTAATGTTCTATTGATTGACGTATTGTGTGTGTGATTTGAAACCTGTTCTTGAATATCTCAGTGGAGAGGGTTAAGTCAGTAAGTATTAGATTTTAAGATACACAGCAGGCGGTAGGTAACTGTTGGTCGCGGTACTTCGAAGGGAGTTTCAACCTGGGATAGCGTATCATTTCTCATTTCCCACTTAGCTGTTTGTTTTTGCGGGATAACCCCCATGTTCTACGTCAGTTCGGAGTTATATTTATTTATTCACATCATCACCCATTGCTGTTAAAACCGCCATTTTATTCTCACTTTGAACAAATAACTTTCAAATGTCCTTGAAATAAATAACTGTTATTACAGTTAATCATTTTCTTAATGATGAAATAGTTTTTTGATATTTTAACTTCTTATCACTGACTTAGGAGGAAAATGATATTAAAGTCGACCTCTCGAAAATTGTGTATCGAAGTATTTGGTGTAGTCATTTGTCTTAGCGTAGAGTCAAACACAAATTGTTTCTTTATTTCTTTCTATGTAAAAAATAGTGAAGAATCTTTGAGTTTTGAAAAATCATTTAGGTTGTTTGATATGGCTTTAATTTGATGATTATTTACTCATATTGTTATTTGTTATTTAGACATTCGATTAGCCAGGTTACGTAACAAGTTGGCAAGATTTCTGTCTTTCATATTTTTTTCCAATACATTAATCATATCAGAATTTGACGCTATATAATCTGAGCTATCTACAGGGTAAGTTGGTTGGACATTTAATCACTTCGTGAAGTTCCCAATTATTGAAAGAATCTCGTAATTCGTAAGCTGAACAGACGCTGGTTGTTCAGCGAGCACATAACCTCATTCTTTGCTACTGCACGTTCGTGTATTGTCATTTTAAGTCTATTTTAGAGCCCATTAAGGAATTTTATAGTGATAGTCGTTACTGTAGTAATGAAGATTAAAATTAAAATAGGAACACAGTTACCTTTGGCTACAGAACTCAATTAAAATTGTAATTAGATTATAAATGTTCAAAATTAAATTTAGCTGCAATGAATGGAGTCACTGATACATAATTCCTGCAATTTTATGGTAGGGAGTCATTTAATGTTACGTACCAGGATAGTGCCCCCTATAACTTTAATTTATGCAGGAATGATTATTATGCTTGCATATCGATATATGAATCCATCTCAGCTGAACATGTCGATATACTGTAATAAATATTCGATCTGCTTCCGGTCCAGATAATACGAGACATTGTGGCAGAGTTGAAATCAGTTAAGGGCAGGTAGAAAAATACTGGCGACCATTTAGGGGAACTGAGGTAAATATGAACATGTTTTTAAAAATTATATTTCTAGTTTACGTAAAAGGATAACGATTAGACGGTCACACACCAGAGTTATTTACCGACTCTCAGTACCGATGGGATGTGCTCCGACTTAAAATAGCTCGTCTTACAATTAAAAATATTACCCTGTCATTAAGCTGATGTTGTCCCTAACTGTGGATAGCATGACGTCCCTTACAAAATCACTAAGTTTATAATTTTTAGTCAGACAACAGTTTCAAGCAATTACAGAGAAGGCTGTTGTATTTTCCCATCAACAGAAGACAAGCACATGAAAATTTATAATCTTTCACGTTCATCGTATTTCAGCACTCCAAAGACTATTCTTTCCCTTCGAATCACACAGTCTCCTAAATATAATTAGTCATTATAACAGCTTTTGAATTAAAATTATTATTGTTACAAATGTCAAACCTACCTCCATGATGAAACTGTGTTCATATTACCTTTACATGGGTTGATCCTTTATCCCGAAACACTAGTATTTATTTCAGAATGTGGTAACACTGCAAGCTTGATGGATTCAACTTGAAATAAACCACGTAATGTTGCTAAGCGTGGTATCAATGTTAATCTTACATTACTAATAGTAAACGTTCTGTGTCTGGTAAGTCAACCTGATTTAAAAAGAAAATTAAGCAGGAAAATTAACAGCTGTTATTCAACCATGGCCGTAACACTACATCCGAGCCCCTGATATCATGAACTCTATTCCGTACAATTCCGCTTAAGTTACAATTACTATAAATGCCAATAGTGCTCATATTTTCCCGAATTCCCCCGCTTATGACAAAACGAATGTTAAAAATGTAAACTATACAAGGAATAACCTAATCAAGTTGGAATTCATTGCTATTATTTTTTAAACATCGTTACTAGAACATTACGTCATGTTGTGTAAGAATCGATAATAAGTCAGAGGTTAAAGATGACATAAGCCAATTATGTTTATGATTATATTAGGAGCGGATTCGTAAAATGGTTGATAAAGTTCAGTTTAGAATATATTATCTTTCAGTCTGTTCTCTAAACATTGTAATATTTAATATATAGTAAATACAGACTTATTTGTTTCGTAATATATTCTAACGAAGTTTGTTCTCTCGACTGTGAGAGATGAAAATAAGTTGAGGAGAAAATTTTGACCTGAGAAAGAGGGAGTAACTGGTGAATTGAGAAATTTGCATAATAAGGAACTGTAAAACTTTAATCTTCATCTAATATTCTCTAGAATTGTTGACACGTCAGATAATAAAGAAAAGGGCGAGAAGCCTTAACTCACAAAGGAACACAAGAAGTACGCAGAACATTTTTGTTGAAAAACCTTAAGAGACTGGAGCACGTGGGATACATGTTTATGAATGACTTCTAATGACTCTAAACCACGATGAAAGGAAGATAAATATTAAAATGCATCTTCCAGAGAAAGTTTATGGACGAAATTGAACCCTGTGAAGATGAAATACAAGTTTAGGTTTCTATAAACGCAGAATTTTTCTTAGGAATTTTCTCCAGCTCTTGGCTCACTTTTGTATGCTATGAGTCTCAGGTTTGAGCGTATTTAAAACTTTCTGTGTACGTCACATTGTTTTAAATATTTTCTCGCTTTTCTTACTGACTCAATATAGTTGTCAAACTAAATGCGTTTATCAATAAAACGTAATGTAAAATCGAATATTTCGATAAAGAACATCATTTAATATTTTAAATATTTTAAATGTTAATTATTGTAATATTTTAATATTTAATAAGAATTATTGTGATTAGACGGACAAGATTTAATATATACCCATTATATCACAATATGACGCAACTTTACCATCTTATGAATAGTTGTTTTAGTTAATAAGGTTCATTTATCGTAGATATTTCGTTTTCTCCTGAAGTTGTGCGTCTTGTCTGCTGACTATAATTATATTTATTTAAGATAAATTTTAATGGTGATGCTTATTAAATGTGATAGATTAATAACTTTATATAATTCAGTGGGTTTCATGCAAATACCACCCCTGCTGCTTAGGGGATACGTGGGAAAACAAAAATTTTCCCCGAAAATAGACTACATTTCTCTCAAACACTCGGTAAGAGAGCCCAAGAATGTATTTAAACCCTAAAGCAATGTTGACCTTGAAAACGAATTGAACGGAACGTATGAATTAAGATCCGAATAACAAAAGTGGTGATGTCGAGTTTTATAAAAATTGCGTCAAATGACTCCAAATATTTATGTAAACATTCTTTTGCCCTCCTGAGCAACACATCAATTGAAATTAATTAAGTTCATTAAATTCATACTAATTAATAATCACGTTGGTTTTGTAGGAAGGAATTCAGTCAAGTTATCATATATGACCTTGAAATAAATTATTGTGACAGATTATTTATTCCACGCTAAATAACCAATGTAACTGATAAAAAAATCTTTGAGTACATCAAGAAAGTAGTTATTTATTATTTTATGAACAGTGGTGTTGGAATTCGATCATATAAATGTGTAGAAATGCAGGTTGACATGTGGAGTTGTGCCACATAGAATAACACGAGTTAAAATACAGTATTCTAGAAATATTTTCTCATTCAGCTCATTATAATAAGCAAAGTAGAGAGTTAATTTTCAAAGGCCCTTTGTCTGTGTGTTGACTGTTCACAGATTCTGCCAGTGACCGCGAGTCTCCTGTCTCTCACTGCCCTGTCCCTTGACCGCTATGCGTCAGTGAAACACCCTCGTTCTTTCACCCAGCTGAGACCTCCGAGCCACGCGATGGTCATCACGATGATCTGTGTATGGGGTGGGGCAGCTCTGACCTCGTCGCCAGTGGTCGTCGTCAACTTTGCGGGTACCGGAGGGCAATGCGAGGAGACGTGGTCTTCTCCGATGTGGCGTACGTCTTTTACGATCTGCCACTTGGGGCTCGTGTACCTGGCGCCTTGTCTCACTGTCGCCGTGTGTCACTTCGCCGTGGGTCACAAACTCTGCGAGGTCTCACTTACGGCAGCAGCTGCCCGAGGTCAACTTCCGCTGCCAATGCCAATCCTACGTAGACCCAAACACGTCATTATTGTAGCGTCCCTAGCGAATGATGCCCCGTCCAAGGTAAAGCAAGTGAATACTTTATGGAGGTTTACAGGAAATTACATCGAATCTGTGAGGTGAGCCCTAATGGCTTTCGAGAGGTTACCGTGACGGTACTGGAGAACATAAAGTCTTGGGAATTCTTTTGCAGCTTTGTTAAGGCAAACAAATTTCTATACATTCGGACTCCTAAATTTTAATCAAGTACTACGGTATTTACTTCATTGTGGCACTTATTTATTTATTTAGTGTTCTGTCTGACGACAGGTCCATATGAACAGGATCCTTCCATCCTTTTCTCGGACTGGGACCCGTTCATATACGTTCTTGGCAGATGATCCAGAAGTGGTTTGCCATTGCCTTCTTCTGTGTGTGAATGGAGTAATTGTTGGGATGCCACGGAGGAAAACTCCGTGTTGCCTAGACCACGGCCTCGCCCAACACAAGTTATAAATTCGGCCACCGCCGGCAATCGAACCCGAGACCCCAGGATTACAAAGCCAGCGTTCTAACCGCTAGACGAGGAAAACTCCGTGTTGCCTAGACCACGGCCTTGCCCAACACAAGTTATAAATTCGAACCCGAGACCCCAGGATTACAAGGCCAGCGTTCTAACCGCTAGACCACCGTTCATACACGTTGTTAATACTGTATTTAAACGTGGAAATTGACATAAATGCGTTAATGAATGGATTTTATGGTTTTCATCAATTCCCAAACTCGTATCGTAACTTACGAGATCCATCATTTCTTACGTATGATATTCGACACTAAGTAACTTGAGTAACTGATACTGTGTCATAACAAAAGCAATGCAGTGACCAGGTATTTTTATGTGTAGTGTCTCTACGTACTGAAGTAGACACGTCGTATCCTTTTGAATCTGTCGCAGCCATTATCTAGCTGTTTTCCCTTTGCCTAATGCACAATTCCATCCACTAGAGTTCGCCATTGATCCATAAACAGTACCAACTTTGACCATTTGTTATCGGAATGAAAATAATTCTGCCTTTTCTAATATGTGACGTAGAGCAAACTGAATTTTTTTTTAATCAATTTCTGAATCTCTTGGCTACGTCTTCCTACGATAATTTTTTAATTTACTTTTAATATTTCTGTGGCGTGTCTGTAAAAATATGGCGAAGTCAAAAGTTTTTGGTAATTGGTTAAGTGTTTCACGAAGTGAGAATCGAATTATTTAATTAAAACACAACACTTTCAACCCAGTGACATGATTAGATACCGAATTAAGTACATTATTACGTAGACGTCTAAAATTATTTCTTATTTTACTTAAAATGGATGCCAAGTGGCTTGAACTCCATTTCGTAGGGAACAGACAACGCCAAATCAGATTAAGAGTTTTATATCTTGTTTAAGTCCATGTGACATTTGTCAGCCGGGATAGCTTAGTCAGTATAGTGACTAGCTACGGGCTGGACGACCGGGGTTCGATCGCCGACGGGGGCAGAGGATTTTTTTTCCTCTAGCCTCTGCGTCCAGACCGGCTCTGGGGCCCACCCAGCCTCCTATCCAATGGGTACCGGGGTCCTTTCCTGGGGGTAAAGCCGGCCGGGGCGTGATGCTGACCACTCACCCCCATCTAGTGCCAAGGTCAAAGAAGAGAGGAGCTATACCTCCACTCACCCCAAGCGCCTACATGGCGTATAGTGGGACAAACTTTAATTTACATTAATTCATGTGACATTTATTTAATTTTTGGTTTTTATTTTGAGTAACTTTCTGATTCACGTATTTTTCCCAGTTGCAATCGGCAAAAGCTTCTGAGTGAAAGGAGTCTATTGCTGCTATTATCCAAATTGATGAATAGCTTGAGTGTTTATTGTTAACTGTGTTTCTTCGAGTTGAAGATATTGAAAAGCGCATTTTGTGACAGAGGATGGTAATTTGTCACGACAGACGCAAAGAATTCCGGAAACGTCGATAAGTCTCGTGACAACATATTTAGAGACTTTCCTCGTGGTCTATAAGGTTTTTTTCGTCTCGTACCCAAAACTTGGACAGTAAAAAAATTGTAACAAACGTCTTTTGGACTGGTGTCCATTCCAAGTACCCAAATGTTAATCTTCGATTATCGTCTCTACAGTTAACCTACGAAATATCAGTTATTATTAATCTACGGTTAAAACCGCGGACGTCAAACTTTAATTCACTTTAATCAGTCGTCGAGTTTACGTATTTAATTTCGGTCCTACTCAGTACAAGTTAATCTGGTTCAAAATCAAGCTAAACCTACCGCTAACATTCCTTGGCACAACAAAGTTAATAACATCGCCTAGAGTAGCATTTATTTATGGTTTATTAAACGACGTTTTTTCAGTAGCGTTGAATGAGAGGATGATGGTGAATAACAAATTTGTCGTGGCCTAATTTAAGGTACTATCCCGGAATTTGCCTGAAGGGAAATATGAAGTCCACGAAAAACCTTAGTCTCCGGGTCGTGATTTGAACACGGGAGCTCCTGAATACGACGTTTGGTCCTAGAGTACGGACCGGCTTTGTCATTAGTGGAGCTGTGACCAACCACAGTTTCTTTTTTGCTTGGCGATACGAGCGTGTGGCAATGAGCCAATGAAATATACATACAGTACAATGTTCGTACTCCAACAACGATCAAAATCTCTATGGATTCTTTGTTAATTGTAACACAAATTAAACCAGACACCTCATTGGCATCTCAGTGTACTAAAATATCCTGGCTGCCTAACATAACCTAACATAACATAACAACATAACCTAACCTAACATAACAACATAACCTAACATAACATAACTACATAACCTAACCTGACATAACAACATAACCTAACATAACAACATAACCTAACATAACAACATAACCTAACCTAACCTAACATAACAACATAACCTAACCTAACCTAACATAACAACATAACCTAACCTAACCTAACATAACAACATAACCTAACATAACATAACAACATAACCTAACATAACATAACCTAACATAACATAACCTAACATAACATAACCTAACATAACATAACCTAACATAACATAACCTAACATAACATAACCTAACATAACATAACCTAACATAACATAACCTAACATAACATAACCTAACATAACATAACCTAACATAACATAACCTAACATAACATAACCTAACATAACATAACCTAACATAACATAACCTAACATAACATAACCTATGTATGGTATATTTAATTACGCTTTCAGGAGCTTACTCTTTCTGGCGTCTAATGATCTGATCATTAATGAGTATTTAATTAGGAAATGAAGCCATTGTGGCCTCATTCGAGGTACTATCTCGACATTTGTCTGGAAGGACTGAGGAAACCCATGAACCACTTCAGTCAATATAGCCCTTGTCCTCTCGAAGATGAAGAAGGGTTGCCAACAACTCTTTCTAGTTTCCATGGTGCTGCAAACATACATTCTCCACTTTCAGTTGTACTAATACGACAGCACAAGACAGGAGGACAAAGACGGATATCCGTGCCTTCAGCGGGTTTCGAACCCGCGATTCAATCGGGCATTATGTCATTCGCCACTATGTACGTAATATACGTGTAATGACCATTTAGTTGTTCAGTTTTAAACAACATTGGAATACGTTTACAAATTTCTTGCGTGAGAACTATATAGACATGGCGAAGCTAATAGGCCCACTCTTGGAACTTCGTTCTGAATAATCGTAGTGAAATAAATTCAAAAACCTTCAGTAGGATGATGTGCATGCCACATTTCATGAGAATCCATTTGTGAAACCTATTAGACGAAAATCAGACGTGGCGTTATCGGCATATATGCATAATTTAAAATAATGATTCGGCCTAAAATGGTATTTATTCTACCAATCGTGATTTAACATTACTAGCGATTAAAACGATGAGTAGGCATTTAGCATATAAGACCAGGGAAGAAATACGAATAGCACGGAATATTTTTGTCGGAAAAGAATAAACCACTTTAGAGTCTTAGGTGTATATGAGAGGATAATATTAAACTGGATCTTAAAATAGTAGGTAGTGATACTGTGCGCTACGTTAAACATGCTTAGGGACACTGTCGATTGGAGGGGTTTTTTTTCTGAAGAATATAACGTACTAAGCGACCGTCAGCTTATTAAGAAAGGTTGGGTTCTCTGTAATTGGATTTAAAATTACTTTGGAATGATTTAACGGGTTTCATAGTCTCTTGAATGTTTTTGTGGTGTGTTGGAAGGAGTCAGATATCCGATCACCAAACATTTAAAATTAAAAAAAATTAACTTGGACGCTGTAGGTTGTCAATAAATACACACAAGTGAGCACAGCTGACTGCAGTATTGTGCAGCTCATGTTCCAATCCAGTGTCGAGATTTTAAAATTGAAATTTTGGTGGATGTAAAATGCGAAAACGAATCGAACTTCGAGAGTTATTTCAGAGTTTACATCAAACGAAAAGTTATTTTTTTTTAAAATAAACTGTGACGCATATTGAACAAAATAATTATCGCAAAGGCACTACCACTGACATAGCCTACGGCTACCCCGACACGCAACCCTTTCCTGAAACGTGTTCAATTTATCAAAAATAAATTACTTTGAAATTAGAGAACGAAAATCAGAGTTATACAAAATCTCTGTCGCTCTCAGCTTTACATTTATCCAGTCTTTTCCTCATGTTTGATGCAATTGGCCGGTTTATTTGGCATAAAAGAATCGGGAAATATTTCAAACTTATTCTGGAAAGTTTATTAAGGACGACAGTGAAATAAGCCTGTGCAAATTTTGTGAAAAATTTTCGATTTACAGGATAAGGCAGTTTAGAAATTTGACATGAGATCTGAGGTTCTAGCGGCGGTGAAAATGTCGATGTTATTGCTCTCGATTGTAAAGCCGTGTTCACTTGTAGGTAGGTACTAACGTTTCGCCAATTTAGCCCTGAAAACGCAGGCGGTATGTTCTTCCAGAATGTTGGTATCTGTCTACAAGAAGATTAACATTTACGTCAACAATTTGTACTAGTTATAGTAATATTCTTGACTTTGAAAATATACATGTTATTAAAATTATTCAAATTAAGTTAATAGTCTTCGTCATAATGGTGAATGTATTTCATACTCTGTTCTCATTTTGTTAAAACTAAGTCAAATTTTGTTTGACCGTCGTGTAATTGATAAGGACTCTCGCAATGTCACATGCCGTATTTTGCTGAAATCCTGCCGTGATTAGTTTTCGAAATAAATCATGGATATCGCGTACATGATTTGCTTACTATACCATCATTTCACACATCTATGCAATGGGTACACAAACGTTGATAAGTCTTCCAGTAATCGTAGCTGAAACAGCATCCTTTATAGGATCTCTGTAAAAACGAGGAGACTAGTGCTACACATATAATCGTCGATTCACGAGAAAATAATCCCGCTAATCTGGTTTGCCAATGGTAGCTGGATAATGACAACAAATTTGCGACATCGTCCATAATTTCATTACGTGTAACACAATTTGATGTTGGCGGGATTTTTTTTTCCCACGCAGTAGAAATGCCCCAAATGCATATTTTAAAATATTTACTGATGACCGCAATCCAATACAATTCGATTGGATTAATGGACACACAACATCGCTGTGACTATAGAGGACCCCCCACGCAGGTCACGTCACGTGATGTAACCCACTCGCTCCAGTCCCGTCAGTCGTCTTTCAACAGTCGAAGTGCAAGGATGTCTTTTTCACAAGCTCAACGAGTGTTCATTGTCGAACACTACGTGGCAACTCGTTATTGATTAATTTGCCAGGTGAGATCACGAAAACATTTCCCGATTCTCCTGTGCAAAACAAATCGATATTATCTCGTCTTGTAAACCATTTCCGTGACCTTTGGTGTTAAGTGATGATAGTTTCCGTCGCTTTATATAACATTGTTTTTTGTATCTTATATGCGTCATGTTTGTGTTTGATTAAATATATTTATTTTTTGTACAGTCTATACACAAACGTTTGAAGTTTATTGGTGTTGTAAAAAATTATATAATATTAAAACATTTTGTTGTGTAAAATATTATATTAGCGCTCTTAATCGTAAATACGATTTTACATTATA